ATCTTGCCCCAGTACTAATAGCAAAGTTCAACAAGACAGAAAACAGCAAATGCTGGCTGGGATGTGGAGAGACTGGGAATCTCATACACCACTGATGGGACTGTAAAATGATGCAACCATTGTGGAAACCAGTATGGTGATTCCTTAAAAAGCTGGAATTAGAAATACCATTTGGTCCAGCCTCCCATTACTAGATATGTATCCTAAAGAAGTAAGAGGCAGGACAAGAACAGGTACATGCACACCCATGTTCAACACAGCATTATTTACAATACATAGATGGAAACAACCTAGGTGCCCATCAACAGAAAAATGTATAAGCAAAATACACACAATGTAATACTAAGCAACACTAAAGAAAAATGTAGAATATACAAAACAGTGCATAACATGGATCAACTTGGAGGATATTATGCTGAGTGATTTTTCACATGAGTGGTATTGTTTGGTTTTAAGAAGTCTTCAGGGGATATTTTTGGTTTAAGGTTTAAAGATGATCTCAGGGCAGTAAGTTTTGGGGGTTCATCCAGCCTCCATGGCTCCAGAAAATCTAGAGTCCATGAGAATTTGAAATTCTATTCTATATTTCTCCCCTTTTGATCAGGATTCTTCAATAGACTCTTTGATCAAAATGTTCATCTATTTCTTCTGATCGCATGACAAAGGAGGCAGTTGTTCATGGAGGCAGGTAACCACAAATTCTGTATCCTCCTGTTCCCAACTCTCCTTCTTCCCCTGTTGCTCCAGGCAAATAGACACCAGTTGCTGTGCTTTGGATGGCTGCTTGCAAGCTTTTAAGACACCAGGCACTATGTATTGAACTGGGAGCCAAAACAGTGTCACTAAACACATTATTAAGCTAATTAACTGGGCTATTTCATGAAACCATAACCCTAAACCACCAAACCAAGGAACCAAATCTCATGACATGTTTGATTGTATATAAGCAGACTCAGCAGCTACTTTTTTTGGGGTCATTGTAAATAGACCTGTCACACAACTTTTGTCAATTCAGAACTACTTTAGTTATACTTTTCAAAATTCTGAAATGCTTAGTTCCTAACATTATTGCTATAACTGCTTGTTTATTTCAAAATATCATTACTCATATTATAACCAACAGTAGGAAAATAGGAAAGCCTGGGAGTTTCACCCCCTGCACCAGCTGGACCTGTGACATGGTCCAGATGTGGGGCATAAGGGGAAGGGAGAGAAGTGGGCTAGAAAACTCCTGCAGTGAAACATCAGAAGTGGAGTCTCTATGTTACAGTTTCTGTTCATCTGGTAAACCTTTGTTCGTGCTTTTTTTTTTTTTTTTTTGCCTTTTGTATAACTGAGTCTTAGATGTGTCTGTTATATATAATATAAAGTTGGGTTTTTCTTTATGATCTAATTTGAAATATTTTTGTTCTAATTGAGATACCTTTTCACTTTTATTGATACACCTGATAACATTTAGTCTTGGCTTATGATACTTTAGTCTTGGCTCTGTCCTATTACTTTATGTTACAATAACTGTGTGCATTGTTTGATCTGTTTGTCTTTCTATATTTACTGTGTCTTCTTTATTTTTTCTAAAATTTATTTTGGTATTTAGGAAGGTTTATCTTTATGCTTCTAGGAGCTCTGGTAGCATAGTGGCTAAAGCACTTGACTGCTAACCAGAAGGCTGGTGGTTCAAACCCACCAGCCACTCCTCAGAAGGAAGGTTGGGCAATCCTACTTCCGTAGTGATACTGCCCCGGAAACCCAAGGAGGGGTCGCTATGAGTCGGGGCCGACTCGACGGCACATAATAACAACAACAACATCTTTATGCTTCAGTAATTTTCTTTGTATATAAACCCTTTCTAGAGCCTGTATTAGTGATATAACTAATCACCAAATCAGTTATGTAAAACATTACCAAAACTTGATGTCTTAGGACAATGAACATTTACTTTCATACAGTTTCTGTGAGTGAGGAATCTGGATGAGGATTAACTTGTGCCTTCTGCTCAGGATCTGGTCAAGTTGTTGGCCAGGGTCTTAAGGGTTACCTGAGGCTGGAAAGTCTGCTTCCAGGCTCCTTCACATGGTCACCAGCAGGCCTCAGCAACTCCATTTCCACACTCATTCATTCTCATGTCATTGCTGCTAGGCCTTGGCTCCTCACTACGTGGGCCTCTCGATAGGCTTCCCACGTGTCCTCACAGCGTGGCAGCCGGTGATCTGTGAGAGAGAGCCAGAGGGTGCCCAACATGGAGCCAGTCTTCTTAGAACCTAATATCAGAAGTGGCATCCCATCCCTTATGCTGTATTCTGGTTTTTAGAAGTCAGTACATAAGGCCACATTCAGGGGAAGGGGATTACACACACGCATGTGTGCCAGGAAGCAGGTATCACTGGCTGCCATCTGAGAGGTTTGCTACCACACTGCCCTTAATCAACCTGCATTACTCTCTGGTCTGTCAGGTCGACTCCCTCCAGTTACTTACGCAGTAGCCAGTGAACTTCTTCCGTTCTCTTTTTTCCCTTTCATTTGTCTCTTTAGCTTTGTCTGAAAATATGTTTACATTCTATTCTTTTCATGTCCTCAACTTTGTTTTAATCTTAGCTCTGCAGTGAAATACACGAAATGGTCATTGTCCTTTTTTTTAAAAAAATACATTTTGTTGTTGTTGAGTACGTACACAGCAAAACATGCACCAGTTCAAAGTTCTGCACGTACACTTCAGTGACATGATGGGATCCTTTGGGTTGGACGCCAGTTCTCACTCTCCTTTTCTGAGTTGTACCTCCCTCATTAACATAAATTCACTGCCCCCTAAGATTTCTGTCTAATCTTTCAAGTTGCTCTTATCATTTTGATACCGTATAGATAGCTCTTAAAAGAGCAGAGTGCCCAAGGCAGACATTTTTCACTAGTGAAGCTGACCTCTTCTTTGGTTTTAAAGAAGGTTTCAGTGTCCTTGTCTGTTCTTTTCCTGAAGTTTCTGGATCGTGTTTTGGTTGGATGAACCCCATCCTCTAGCAGACTTCTCAGCGCATGTTTACAACACAACCTGAGCTCTCTCGTGGTTAAAGCTCTTTCTGTAGACTTGCTAATTGAGGGGGAGCCGGGCTGCATATAAAATCCTTGACTCAAGGATTTTAAAGTTTTTGGAAAATGCTGCTCTGCTATTGTCATGCTTTGTATGTTTCTTTTTCAAAGCAACATGTGATTCTGTTGAAGTTATTTTATCTTTTTGCCTGGAGGTTCTGAGGATTTAGTAAATAAAGTCTAATAGTTGTGTTCTCTCAGAGTTGATTATTCTGATAAGTTTTCCTGGTGCACACTGGGCCATTTTAATTGTGTTTTCTTTGACTTTTGGAAAAATTTCTAGATTATGGTACAAATATTAAATCTGTTTCAGTACTTTTTTCTTCTTTATGGTGTCCAATTATAGCATTTTTTTTTTTTACTATCTTCTATTTTAACTACCTTTTCTGTGACACTTTTTCTATTTTTAAATTCTTATATTCATTTTCTGTGTCTTTTCACTGTACCTTCTTACATTTTCATTCAAATGTATTTCCCATCTGTTACGGATTGAAGTATACCCTCCAAAACATGTGTTGACTTGGCTGGGTCATGATGCTCAGTGGGTTGGAGGTCATGTAATGATGGCGTCATCCCCATCATGTGATCTGATGTGATCAGCCCTGATCCGATGTAAGGAGGTGAGGGTTACAGACCTGATTCACCGTAAAGAGAGTTCCTGTATAACCTTTTATCTTTCAAGCAGAAAGGGAGGGACCAAGAAAGAAGAGCTGGGGGTGGAGTGCATCCTTTGTATCTGGGGTGCCTGTGCTGGGAACCTTCTAGAACCCAGAGACATAAAGAAAGCTTCCCCTAGATCTGGCACTCTGAATTTGGACTTCTACCCTAAACTGTAAGACAATAAAATTGTTTGTTAAAGCCATGCACTTTTGGTATTTCTCTTACAGTAGTGCTCGATAACTAAGACACCATGGTATACCTCTTTTCCCTAAAATTTGGTCTAGTAATGCTTTCCCGTCTTGTCGGCTCTTTGATAATCAAAGAATTTTTTTATTTGTTATTTTATCAGACATAATAAACAACATGAGAGTTGTTCTGAATAACCTAGCCTGTTAGTAATGGAAATATAAATCCCTGCTTAGTCACAAATGGGCCCCTGGAGTATGCCAAGAGTCCCGCCAGAAGTCTGAAGAAGGATGTGTGAAAAAGGAGATGTCATATTCCTTTGATTTGGATATAGTGGGAGACTGGTTGGTGGCTGATTTTAAGACTCTAAACTTCAGACTTTTTCCAGAAACTTCTTTTTCCCCATATTGTGTTGCCCATTCTCTCAGCCCAGCTGTGAAGACTTTAAGTCTGGTGGTCATTCTGTTTGGAGGATTGCATGTCATGAGAGAACTGTCAAAACAAGCAGATAAAATAGCAGTATTCATTATTATTTTTATCTCATTGGAGCAGTAATGGTGGTAAAAAGTAAGAACTGCCTGTATTTCCACGTCTTTCCTGAACTTAGCCTGGAATCCCTGGGTCTGCCAAAAATGGACTCTGGGATTTGGGATAAGGCTAAATCTAGAGTAGTCAGGTGACGGAATTCTTTTATTAAAACATTTGTTCTAAGCATTTGCTGCACTTTTGAATATCACTAATTTCTAAACCTTTCAAAAAGCTTGTTGTTGTTGTTGTTATGTGCCGTTGAGTTAGACCTGACTCATAGTGACCCCTCCTTGGGTTTCCAAGGCAGTATTGCTATGGAAGTAGATTGCCCAACCTTCCTTCTGAGGAGAGGCTGGTGGGTTTGAACTGTCAGCCTTCTGGTTAGCAGTCAAGTGCCTTAGGTACTACACTACCAGAGCTTCCTCCAAAAGCTTAGAAATCAATAATTTGTGACCTATATTCAGGAATTAACTATATTTGTTCTAAAGCTTTTTTTTTTTTTTTTCTTTCCCTCACTCCTAGGTGTGCCAAGAAAATAACTAAAAATGAGAAGCAGCAGGCTTGAGAAGTCCATGGGAGATGTTCAGATGGGGTTAGTCAGAATGCTTAAAGGATTCCAAAGCAAAGTTTTGCCACCGTTGAATCCAAAGGTGGTTACAGAAGAGGAAGCAAACCGAATGGTAATGTATCAAAGAATTGCTGTGTAAAGCACTTAGTGCAGCCTCTTGAGAATGACAGTTGCTGCTCGTCATTCCCAGAATATCGAACAGAGAATTACTGACTAATTAATATAATTTAGTTAACATGCTGCAGTGCTGCAAAGCACAGGCACTGATAAAAGCCCGAGAAGTTTATGAAACTACATACGTGCTTCAAAATGGAGCTCGAATTGTTTCATTGTAAGCTGAAGAAAGATCACACAAGCAAACTATTAAGGGTTTTTGAGTATTGGCTTGAACCATATGAGACAGTCACTCGTGTAGGTCGAAAACAGTCAAATACTAGAAATTTCATAGGGTTCAGCCTAGTGATTTATCACCTGTTGACTGGCAAGAGTTATTTTTGCTTATGGGTTTCATGGAGCATGAAATTGACTCTGCGGCATCTAGGAAAATATGTATTTTATTTTTCTCTCCTTTAAAATAAAAAAAAATATATGTATTTTAATGAAGTATAATAATTAGATGAGAATGAAATTATAATCTGTTATAGAAAATATTAATGATATTTTACAGTACCAGTGACAGTATTCCTTTCATTCTAAAAACTGGTCTTATGTTGCATTCTGATTGGAAAAATAAAATCAAGCATCATTCCCTTTTGTGGTGGTGGTAGTTACATATTTAAAATAACACCTGAGTTTTTTTTGTTTGTTAAGACATAATTGTTTTTAATTTAAATTACAACACAGATGATATCTCTTAAATTTTTATTATTCTAATAAAGGTTCCAATCAAATGGCATTTGAAAACCAAGTTGAAAGCTATATTAGAAATATGTCTTCTTTTTAATGCATTCAGTCACAGAAACTAAATTTGTGGGGAAATAAACATTCTTGAAGAGCATTGGTATTCACCTAAGGCAAAATGAATCAGTAAAATTACATTTTCCTAAATGTTTTTAAAGTCTGGGTACAGACTTAAGCATTATTATCGCTAACAATGAAAATAATCCCCTTGCATATAAAGTATGCCCTGGAACAATGTAAACATTCTAGAAAAACAGTAACAAAGGAAATTATTTTTTCTGGCCAACTAATCTTGTTCCCCTTATAATATTAGGAGATGTTGAAAGCGTAATGTGTTCTTTTTTGGGTGTGTGAATGTGACTGGCTGCTGGATTGGATGCTTGGCTTGGAGCTCTTTGAAAACATGGTCTGTGCGTGCTCCTGTGATTTCTCACAAGTTCAGACTCATTCCTGAGCAATGCAGTCATACTTCCCAGGTCTTTTACACTTCGTAACATCTCTAACCTGATGTAATATGATAGCTAAACACCCAGTAGCTTTTATTAGCTGTGAAGACCATAAGTAATTTTAGGGATTTGGTGTTTTAAGCTCAGAGGCCTCTTCTGAGTGTTAATGTTAAGCTTTTCTGACATGTTCCTGTGCAATTTCTTGACTTTCACCCTCCAGGTTCTTTTGTGTGTTTCCTTCAAAATCATAAGGTCACAGCCACTAGCTGTCATTTCAAATTACTGTGCTCAGAAGTGCATGAGCATTTCTCTTGTATGCAGGTAGTCCCTGGATTACAAACGAGTTCCATGCCTAGGTCTGTCTTTAAGTTGAATTTGTACATAAGCTGGAACAGTTAGGTATGGTTTGTCTCTAACGGCAGTTAGTCAAGTGTTTGTCTTAGCATATAGTAGATATTGGGAAGTTCTGGTGGCATAGTGCCTAAGGCATATGACTGCTAATCAGAAGGCTGGTGGTTCAAACCCACCAGCCACTCCTCGGAAGGAAGGTTGGGCAATCTACTTCCGTAGTGATACCGCCTTGGAAACCCAAGGAGGGGTCACTGTGAGTTGGGTCCGACTCGATGGCAGTGAGTTTGGTTTGGTTTCTATGTGTGAAAACCATTAAAGAAACACTTGGAGATAACACTGAAACATCTATACCATAATAATACAGTAATAATAATGATAATGTTTTGGTGACATTGCAAAGTAGTGCCCATTTATTATTAGGAACCATTGTATGCACCTTGAATTTTTAATATAAGCGGCTTTACAGTATTGGTTTATAACTACAGGTTGTATGTAAGTCGTACTGTAGTAAATTGGATGTTCATAATCCAGAGACTGGCAGCAATTTAGTTATTTTAAATATTTTATGAGGGAATTTAGTGACATTCCTGAAGTTTCTTAAAAGCTGCAGACATAAGTTATTCATTACTGGCACTTACAAAAACACTTTTAGTCTAACTATTTGTGACTCTTCAGCTCTTGTTGTTTTAAATTCTAGCTGACGCCCTCTGAATTCTTGAAGGAAATGTCCCTCACCACAGAGGAGAGGCTGGCAAACACACATGTGATGTGCCGACCACAGATCATTGAACTTCTGGATATGGGGGAAACAACACATCAGAAGGTAGCTGCTTTCTGTCCTATTTGCACGTAAAGTAGGTCCTGGCACAATGTGAATTCTAGAGCAACTAAATGGCACAGTAATGCCTAATTGGGTTACATATGTACCCTCCTTTCTACCTCTGTTGATCTTGATACCTGGGATCTGGTATGGGGAAAATTATAATTAATAAGTATAAACCTCACTTAAAATACCTTTTGATTGGCCACACTTCTTTCTTAGCTACTTCTGGACACTATTTGACAGAATTATTATAGGTCAGGGGTAAGTCTAAGAGCTGCATTAGCCAAGCACAATTAAGTTATCTTCTTATCATAACAAGCAACCCTTCCTGCCTGAGCTGTCATCACTAGAAAGAAAGAATGCAGAATTGTTTATTAAAGTATTTATTTCTTGTCCATTCTGGTGTCTTTCTTATACGGATATATGGATTTAGTCTTCAAGGAATAGTTAGTTATGCATCTCACCTAAACCTCTAAAATCACTGAAACAAGAGGGAACAACGTGAATCACAACACTGGCTTTTAAAGGTTTT